GCCGCTCATCGTCGCGTTAATTCGACGACATTCCATCCTGCGCGCGCGGGCGCGAAATTTGAATGCCGTGAATTAAAAAGCGACCCCGCTGCCGGCGGATCGAATTCGCCGCGCGGCAACACGAGCGGCGCTCTCGGCGCGTCTATATGTGTGCCGTCGCGCGTTCGCGAGCGGTTACGGTAATTGGCGGCGGGAATGTAATATCAGCCAAAAATTGCGTCCCGATGAGAGCCGGCGGGAATGATCTCGAGGATGAGAGGCGACCCTTTCCCGGAAGCACTCGGGATATTTGTGTAATGAGAAAGAATGGCGCAAACTCTCCGGCGCGCTCGCGCTCGCTCGCTCGCGCGCGCGCGCGCCAGGTAATCGAGATAGTTAGCAGGTTGCAGTTTCGTTTTACAGCGCGTGATACATGGTTAATCCGCGAAACATCAGACACCCCGGAATAATATTGCGAGCGCGCTTATAGACGGCTAAAATGCAGTCCACCGCGTCGGCAATTACCGGCCGACCGGCCGGCCGGCCGGCCGGTTGCGCGAGGAGGCGACCGGCGGAAGAGTGAAATATAATACCGATTTAAAGCCTCGCGGCCTTGGCCGGAGAGATCTTACAGTAACGATCAATGAGCGCGTATGATAAAACGCGCGCTTAATTGCGAAATCAGCGGTCTAATCTCGCGGGTTATCGCCGCCGCGACAATGCCGGCGAAAAGGCCGTTGTTTCGCCGCGCGGATGCTCCTCGGAGTGAGTTATTATGTGTTGCTCGAGATGCAAAGAGAGAACGGCTGTGTAATCTGCGCGTATGAAGGTAACGCCAAAGCGGATGACAAGCTCCAAAAAAGGTTGATCACGCAGCGCTGGTCGCGAAGACACGTCATGTCGCATAAGCAATGATGCGATCATCGCAGACAGCACAAGACGTCCTCCCAGGATGATCCTGAACATGCCCTGAGGATATCCTGGGATATCTTCAGAATACAGAAATACCCAAAAAGCATCCCAGGATATCCTGGATATATTCAGCCTAATCCTGGGATATTTTCGAGATATTTAATTGTGTCATCGTAAATGAGAATATTATGTGTATCCTTGATTTCATTAATTATGGTGCAACATTAGAGGAGTAATTTCAGAATGTTAAATACTGTAATAAAATATAAATCTCCCATAAATCTCCGATAAATCTCCACTGCATATTCGCTATGCATATTCCTCATGTAGCGACAAGTATAAGAACCCAGACAGCACAAACTTCTGGAAGATGTCTCAAAAGTAAACAGTAGAAATGTAGCTTATTGAATTTGCTGATTCCGAGTTGTATCGAGATATGTGTGTGCTTCCTGCATTTTCCGTTTAAATTATAAATATAGAGCAAAAGATGCATTTTCGAATCTCAATGGTTAGACGGATTTACCAGACTGAGTGTATCAATAGCTCGATTTCTCTTGGAGTCGAAAGATTTTAAAATTCAAAAAGATTAAAATTTGAAAAAGATTCGAGACCTTTTGTTTCTAAAAATGAAATTGAGTTGTTAATATATTCAACACTTGCCAGTTCCGATTTATAGAATCGAATCAAGTGCTTCTTATATATATATATATATAATTCAAACAGAAAAGACAAAGAACACAACTCGATACAATTCAGAGTCAGTAAATTCGATACACTTTTTTACTATTTTTATACTATTTCTTTTTCCTTTTCCTTTAGACGCTGAAGAAATATCCACAACATGTCCTGTAGAAGTCCTCAGAATGCCCGATAGGACATCCTCTGGATATCTTCGAGGATATCTTATAGGATTCAGCTCTTACTTTTTCTTCCTCAAGACATCCAAAATATATCCCGGGATAAAATTTGGATATTTACAGAATATCCGTCCTTAGGATTTCCGGAGGATGTGAACTTATCCTATTTCTTGTATAAATTTGGTGTAAATGTGCCGCTTTTGTGGCAGTATTTAGCGGGAGATGAGTAACCACGCAAATACACGGAAATCTCCCTGCAAACTTTTCATGTACTCTGAAGCTTATCAATTCGGTCGTTGAAGCGCGGCGATATTCATCGCGATTCTCTTCAAGTCTTCTTGAGCGCAGCAAACACACATTCGGGAGGTACAAGCTACCGAACTTTGGCATCGAGCGAGTATTTACGACACCACCGACACAGCTCGAGATGTCAATTTCGAGAGAGCGTTTGCGACTCTGCGCGAGCAACACGACGCGAAGTCTGTCGGTATTTCGTCGCTGGTTTTCAAACACTCGCGGCACCTCCGCGAGTATCATTCAGATAATTCCGAGAAATACGACACGAGTGTCGAACGTCACGAAGATGAAGATAAAAAACACTGCTCCAGTGCGGAGCAGAGCGGAACGCACCGATAAAATTTTATCAGCGGCAACAGAAGGAAAAATAACCTCGCATACCCGCCCAGCTCTGCAAACAAGTGGAGCACGATTGCTTTTTTACAACAAACGCTTTTTTGTCCATCCACAATTTACCTTCGTATGTCTCTTTCTCGAAGGCCCCGATAATTACGTTACCCCGACAATTACGCGGGCTCTCGCATTATAATAATTGTTAACGCCAACTGGTTAATACGAGCCGGCGTAATTTCACGTGATAAACGACGTAATCGCTTGTGATCGTCGATGATCGATTCCCGACTTGGCGTGCGCGCGCGCGCGCGCGTCTACGGCCATTTAAATTTCGATGAATGGGGCAGGTTGGATCGCTGATTTAACCGGTGAGGATGTATTTAGAAGACCCTTCGTCGCGACGGGGAAGCCCACTTTGAGCAGGTAAAGGTAACAAATCACTTTCCAACGACGGCAGACCGAGCTCTCCGCTAGGCAGTGTTTTCTCAAAGGAGGACAGACTACTTCACCGTAGGAGACCCCGCTCGACATGGTGTTACACACAATTCCTGACACACAATGCGTTCGCTCGTCTCACGCTCAATAGGACGAACGTGTGCGAATCCCAAATACAGTTCAAAGGCAGCGGGAAGGTTACACGCTGCCAGCCAATTCCGAGTCCCAAAGAAGCATTAAGCACGCTGAAAAACGAAGGTTCCGTGTAATGGACGAGACGTTGTTTGCGTTTACGTGAAGTCGTTTCAGCCCCCGGCGACGGAAACCGTGCCCGGTCGTGTGCGATCGATCCTGCGTTGTTTCCTTGTTGACCGACTCGAGGAGGACCTGAGAGATCCGTCCCGAGGTGAGGAATCGCGATCGAGCGAATGAGACTAACCAGACCAGGGAACGAGACCAGGGAATTCTCATCGCGCGTCGCGATAACGCGCAGAAATTGATTAACGCAAAACGCAGCGCGCGTTTTTATCTCGGCCGGTCCTGCGAGAAACGAGGAATGACACGACGGAAATCTGCTGAAGTATTCGCGAAGCGAAATACGAGCGTAAACGGGACTCGCGCGCGCACAAAGGCATCGGGCAAACATCCTCTCCTTTTTTTTTTCTCCTCCTCGCGCGCTTCCATTCTACGTGACAGAATCGTAGAAACGATGTGAGAACAGATGACGGCGCGGCGAAGTTTCGCGGACGGATCGAACGGCAATACGACGAAAGAATAGAGAGGAAGGGGGGAGAGGAGAGGGAAGATCGACGGCGAGGAAAAAGAGCGAGAAGAAAGAGAGAGAGAGAGAGAGAGAGAGAGAGAGAGAGAGAGAGAGAGAGAGAGAAAGAGAGAAAAAGAGAGAAAGATGAAAGGACTAGGGGAACGCGAGATGCGGGGAGCGCGCGCGATACAAAGAAGAAGAAGAAGAAGAGAGAAAACGAAAGAGAGGGAGAGAAGGAGGACGAAAGAGAAAGAGAGGGGGGAGGGGAGATGGAAAAAACAGGAGGGACAAGGAAATAAGAACGTAGTGGATGGAGGAGGCTGCAGATGCGGAGGAGCCACTGTAAGGACCCGGAGAGTGTACCTGTCTTGTTTTTATAGGCTTGCCAGAACGTCGGGACCCGGGTACGAACGACGACGACGACGACGACGATGAGGACGACGAAGACGAAGAGGAGGACGAGGACGAGGACGACGACGACGGCGGCGACGACGATGAAGTGGACGACGACGAAGACGGCGAAGAGAAGGTAGAACGGGTGGGAGAAGGAAGGACGGCCGGGGAGCGGTGAGAACGGCTATACGGAAGGTGGCAGGAGGTGGGTAGCGAGGCCGGGGGGGAGGGTAACGGAGCCCGGCAGGGCCTTACAACTTCGCGAACCAGTCCTGGAAGAACCGTGGGCCCTACCGGAGCCGTATACGCGCGCGTCATACCCGGTGACTTTTCGTCGTTGACGAGATTTTTCTCACCGTCGAAGGCGATAATCTCTCGCGGTCGCCGAACCCGTTCTTCCTTTCTCTCTCTCTCTCTCTCTCTCTCTCTCTCTCTCTCTCTCTCTCTCTCTCCCTCTCCCCCTCGCCCTCTCTCTCTCTTTCTCCTTTTCTCTCTCTCTCTCTCCCTCTCTCCTCTCTCTCTCTCTCTCTCTCGTCCTCTCGCTTCTTCTTTCTCTTCGTCGCTCTCTCTCTCTCTCTCTCTCTCTCTCTCTCTCTCTCTCTCTCTCTCTCTCTCTCTCACTCACTCCCTCTCTTTCTCTTTCTCTCTCGCTTGCGCGTCCGTTCCGTTAAGCGCACGTCGTTCGGCCAAACGTACGACGAATCACCGAGGATGAAACCACCGGGATCGTAAGGCGGAGTAAAGACGTGCCGTGGGTCGATCGTCTTCGACGACCGTGACAAGGAGAGGCGAGGGGGAGGGAGAGGAGGGGGGGAGAGAGAGAGAGATAGAGATAGAGAGAGAGAGAGAGAGAAAGAGTGATATGGATGACGCGAGGTAAAATCACGACCGCGACCGGTGGTTTAAATGGATCGACGCCGGTCTCACGACGAGGCGTTAGTGGGATAAAGAAGGGGGCGGAGGAGGCAGAGGAGACGGAGGAGGAAGAGGAGGAGGAGGAGGAGGAGGAGGAGGAGGAGGAGAAGAAGAAGAAGAAGAAGAAGAAGCTACCACGACGACGACGACGAAGACGACGAAGACGACGTCGACGACGACGACGACGAGGCCGGCAACGGGACGACACATTGATGACGGGACACTGATCAACGCTCGGCGAAAACGATGCGGGGCAGTCCTGCCTTCTTCGCCATACTCCTGGGCACGATATTCGGTGTCCTCGGCGCGTCGCTGAGCAAGGCGCTCAGGTACAAAGCGCCGGACGAGTGCAAGTGGGTAACGACCGGCGACGCCGAGGACGACGTCTCGCTCGTGTGCCGCCTTCGGACGATCAACAGCGAGCTGGAGAACACCAACTTCAGCGTGATACAGCCGCAGCACACGGTGCGCCTGCGGCTGGAATGCAGCGACGGCCTCTTCTACCAGAGCTCGTTGAGCGCCGGCAGCTTCCGGCCGCTGGTCGAGCTACGGGAGCTCGTGATCGAATACTGCAAGATCGGCAATCTGTCGGACGACGCGTTCAAGGGGCTGCGGGAGCTGCGTAACCTCACGGTGAGGACGCACAACACCGACTGGTCCGCGATGGCGCTCGACCTGTCGGCGGGCGCCTTCACCGACGAGCTTCGCCAGCTGGAGAAGCTCGATCTTGGCGAGAACAACATGTGGAGCATACCGGAGGGCGCGCTCTGTCCGTTGGTGAACCTCGAGGTGCTGAACCTCACGAGGAACCGGCTGCGCGACGTCATCGGTTTCCGCTTCAACGCCGCGGCGAGATGCCTCGCGAGCCTCAGGGAGCTGGACTTGAGCAACAACAGCATCGAGTCGCTGCCGAGCGCGGCCTTCTCCGGCCTGACGCGGCTGCACAGCCTCGACCTGCGCTGCAACGCCATCGGCTTCATGGCGGACCGCGCGTTCGAGGGCCTCTCCTCGCTGGCCGTCTTGAGACTCGCCGACAACCGACTGGCCAGCCTGCCGCCCGAGCTGTTCGCCGACGCGAGGGACATCCAGGAGATACACCTGAGGAACAACACGCTGAGCGTGCTGCCGCCCGGCTTGTTCGGCGAGCTCACGCAGCTGCTGGTGCTGGACCTGTCGCGCAACGAGCTGACCGCGGAGTGGGTGAACGCCGCGACGTTCGCCGGCCTGGTGCGGCTGGTGGTGTTGGACCTGTCGAGCAACCGTATCGCGCGGCTCGACCCCACGGTCTTCCGCGACCTCTACAGCCTGCAGATACTGCGGCTGCAGGAGAATCTGCTCGAGAGCCTGCCGGAGAACACGTTCTCGGCGTTGTTCAACCTGCACACGTTGCTGCTGAGCGACAACCAGCTGACCACGGTGGACGCGACGACGCTGAGCGGTCTCTACGTGCTCAGCCTGCTCTCGCTGGACAACAACCGCCTGCACACGATACACCCGAGCGCCCTGAGGAACGCCTCGTCCCTGCAGGACTTTCATCTCAACGGTAACCGCCTGACCTCGGTGCCGGACGCCTTGAAGGCCACTCCGTTGCTGCGCACCCTCGACCTCGGCGAGAACCTCATCCCCGGGATACCGAACGGCACCTTCGACCACGTGTCGCAGCTGTACGGCCTGCGACTGACCGAGAATCACATCGGCAATCTCAGCAAGGGTGTGTTCGACCGCGTAAAGGAGCTGAAGATCCTCAACCTGTCGCGCAACCGCATACAGTACATCGAGACCGGCACCTTCGACGAGAACCTCAACCTCCAGGCGATCCGGCTGGACGGCAATCAGCTGACCGACATCGCCGGCCTCTTCACCCACCTGCCGAATCTCGTCTGGCTGAACGTAAGCGACAATCGGCTCAGGTGGTTCGACTACGCCATGATACCGACCGGGCTGCAGTGGCTGGACATCCACTCGAACGAGATCCGCGAGCTCGGCAATTACTACGAGATCGAGGCGCAGCTGCAGCTCAACACCTTCGACGCCAGCGAGAACCGGCTGACCGAGATCACCGGCAACTCCGTGCCGATGAGCGTCGAGCTGCTGTTCCTCAACGACAACCTCATCTCCAAGGTGCAGAGCTACTCGTTCTTCAAGAAACCGAACCTGACGCGGGTCGACCTGAAGGGCAACCAGATCCGCAACCTCGAGCCGTACGCGCTGCGCATCAGCGCGGTGCCGGCGGACCGGCCGTTACCGGAGTTCTACATCGGCGACAACCAGTACCTCTGCGACTGCACGATGGAGTGGCTGCAACGGGTGAACCGGCAGAACCAGACGCGCGTGCAGCCGCGGGTGATGGACCTCGAGAGCATCTACTGCAAGCTCCTCTACGACCGGGAGCACGCGTTCGTGCCGTTGGTCGAGGCGTCGCACTCGCAGTTCCTCTGCAAGTACGACACCCACTGCTTCGCGCTCTGCCACTGCTGCGACTTCGACGCCTGCGACTGCGAGATGACCTGCCCGCACAACTGCACCTGCTACCACGACCAGTCGTGGTCGGCGAACGTGGTCGACTGCTCGAACGCCGGCCACGCGAGCAAGCTGCCGGAGCAGATCCCGATGGAC